TAGAAATTCTTGAGCAAAATATTCTTTTTTCAAAATCAATTTTTATATTTACAAAAATAATCTGATTGATGTACTTTCATTAATCATAACTAAATAGAATCATATTATTTAATTGCATAAGAATAAAGATGTTAACAGAAACCAAAATATTTCAAATTTGCAAAACTGAAACTATTTCAGAATTTGAGATTTTAAAAAGCAACTTCTGAAATGCTGAATTGTTTCCAAAATTCTTACCATATTACCCAGAGTACACTAAAAACCCGTTCTCGGTTTGATTGGGCAGGGTTTTTAGTGCAACTGAGGTAGGTGTGGTAAGGGGGGCGTTGAATGAGGTGGGGTATTGTTCGGGTGGTCAACAAAAAGGAAATAACAATAATAATACAAACCTTTGTAATATTGAAAAGGGAGACACCATTCTCATTTTTGAATGTAGTTAGTATAATACCTCTAGTTTATGAGTACAGAGAGCCTTTTATTTTTATTATACATAATAAAAATAAATTTACATATTGAGCAAAGATTGCTGCAGTATGTCCGTTTTTGATTGCCATTGGTGTTTGTCCCTCCCAAAAAGTTGCTCTGTACCCATAAACTAGAGATAATATATTCAAAAATGGGAATTATATCTCGGACTATATAGTTAGTTACATTCCATTTTTATTATAATTTTTTTCTTTGGTTATTGATCACTAGTAAATGTATCGTCTATAAATGTGCCAGTCCGAAATTTAAATTTTAGAAGATCTTTCTAATTTAAGTAAACAGATTTCTTTGCTTGGAAAGATTTCTGTATCACGAAAAAATTTTAAGCCGATAATCGGCTTTTTATGTAAAGTTATGACTATTTAAATGGCATCCATCATATTTATATTTCAAAGGTTTTCTTTCAATTTTGTTGTAGATGTCTTGAAAATTGATGAGAAGATGTAAAATAATTTAAGCTTTTATATGGGCATTGCTTTATGTGGGGTATGTGTTATTGAAGTTGAAGTTTAGAGAAAATCAATCTTATTATCCAAAAATAGAAAACTATGTTCCAAATTTAGTAATTCAATAATAAAACTCAAGTTTAAGATTTCTTCCATTTTTATTAAACACCACCCAAATATTTTCAAAATTTGGTGGGACAATAAATTGGGGTTGAAGTAAATTTTTTTCCAATGTTGATCACTAAAATTTTATATTACGACCCGTTAAGACCTTATCCAGTAATTAACGGATTACTGGTACTTGGTTGTAATGGGTTAACGTCAATATTAATATTATGATAATAACGGATTTTATATTAATATGGAGCAAAATGTTTAAAATTTGTTATAACGTATTTAATTAGGTTACACTTCGTTATAACGAGATTCAACAGTTGGTGATCTATTTGATCCCTGAAACATAATGATAACTTTGCAAACCAAAAACAGGATTATTAATCCTATAATAATAACAAAAAGAGGCTATAACAAAAAATAATTACATTAAGTTTATTTTGAGGGGACCATCCAAACCGTTGAAAAAAGAATCTGTTATCATTTCAGTATGTTAACGCGTCTAGTGTATTTGAATGTAGGCGAGCATATGGTGATGGAGATGTATATGCTTGTGGTGAAGATGAATATGTTTGTTGTGGTGGAGATGAATATGTTTGTTGTGGCGGCGGGGATGAATATGTTTGTCGCAGTGGCGGAGATGAATATGTTTGTCGCAGTGGCGGAGATGAATATGTTTGTGGTGGTGGTGATGTATATGTTTGTGGTGGTGGATGATGATTGTTATATGAAACAAGGTTTTGAAATTGTTTTTTGAGTAATTCAACAATATAATTTGAAGTGAATACAGCGAAGAAAATTGCCAGTAGAAAAAACTAGATAGATATAAAGTATAGTATACAAAGTCAATAGAGATAATATTATTGATTTTTGGTAATATATTATTACTAAT